CACGATCCTCGATCTCACACTTTGGTATCGAGATCCAAAGTCCCTGGTTTACTGCTGCTTCGGGCAATTGCCGCTCCAGAGCGTGGATTGTAGGTCGAAACGCGGTGCTGAACGCCAGCCAATAGACAGAGACTTGCGGCGCGGTGGTAAGATGCGTACCAAAAAGTACGATGCTGACGGATCGTGGTGGAAGTGCTTTACGCATTAGCTCGACCTGTCTGTGCTGGCCGGTTTCGTCGTCGTCGTGTTCTCGTTCTTTGGGTATGACGTCTTCTCCTCCTTCCTCTTTGTTATATCGCGCATATTCACCCCACACTTCTACCTTTTGGACGCATAACTGCAGCATCGCGTTTTAATATAAGTAATGAATAGTTTCGCACATTCTTTCGAACTGGACATGCTTCTACACTGGCAACACCCAGCTTTCGATTCGCATCTATCTTGCACACTCGGGAACTTCCGTCCGCATACGCCATTGACCTCACCATCCTCGACTTCCGGAGACACGATAGCTTTTTCGTAACTCTAGCACCAAAAAGAAACGTTGCCATTATTAGTCACTAAAGCTATCATCCGCTGTTCTCGGAAACGATCGACGCATATGCTGATTTTCTCATTGTTTCGTACGGCACGGCCCGTCGGTACTATCACTACGATGGAGAGAGGGAACGGTATTATCTCTCCGATCATCTCGCTAGCGAATCTGAAGATCGCAATTGTGCACGATAAGAGCTGGAGGCGAGATAGCGATGGACACGAGATTCCGTAAGCGTAGATCGTAGAAGGGCCGATATTTGCTTATGCGGTATGTTTGGCTAAAGTCCATGGAGAAGCCACACATATGCAGGTCTAATTGCTTGAGTATCGCGAGTGCTGCTTGTCGTTCCACTTCTCTTATGGTACTCTCGTGGTTCACTGAGGCCGCTCTAGCTACCATCATCAGCAAAGAGAAGAGTCTGAGTCTGAGAACAAACGATGACTTACCAGTCCAGACTGAAGCAGCCAGTCCATCACTGACTTGTAGCTTGGTGACACTAAGATAGTTTCGTACCATCACGCCGCTCGAGTCACATCCTAAAGCTGCAACGTCTAAGAATGTTTCAAGTTCGAACGTGAGCCCTATGTAACACTGACCTCATGTGTACGTACATAGCTTCATAATAACCTACTGCCACGTGAATGCGAAAGCAGCGTATGTAATCTTGATATGAAGTTGATGAGCGTCCGATTCAGGAAGTTTCATGTTGGCAAAATCGAGCTTGCGCTGCCGTTGGGTGGCTGCCCGGGCAGTCAAAGTGATATTGTTAGGAGTGATCCTTCTATTTTGCTCCGTAATATGTAGATAAGCGGTACTATCAAGTCGGGTTTGACAAGGCTAACGTCTGAGAAGAATCAGGCGGTGAGCCGGAGAATCAGCATGCACTCGAGTAACTTCTAGAGCGCGTTGTGACACGATCAGGTTGGATATAATCTCAAGTATTGGAACCGACAGCAAGAAAGACTTCATTTTCGAGGCAACAATACGAACAGTACAAGATCTCGATGCTGTTGACTTTTAAGCCGTTTATTGGACGGCAATTAATACTAGTAGAGTTAGTCTGTACGTATAAAGCGTATGCCCTCAACAATGTATAAATCGAGGAAGTAACAGTATGACTAAGCTACGATGCAGAGCCCAGTGTCTTGATGATTGTGGTATTCGTGAAACTGTCGTGAAAAGATAGAGTATTCCTCCGCTGCCAGACTAACGCGTTGTACCCATGACTAGACGATAGGGATAATGAAAAGTCGGGTCCCATACGTCGTTAGACACCCTCTAATACATCAGACCTTGTTCATATAAAGAAAGCGTGTATGCCATCACACGAACGGGACCGCTTTTGGCGCAAGTGCTTTTCGCGAAACCTCAGTGCCCAGCTCTGCTGCTGCATTTCGAATGACAACTGTCAAACACCTCAATCGTTCTCCAGCTCGTCTAACTCTCTTTGTCTCCTTTCTAGTTCCTGTCTCATAGCCTCCGCTTCTTTCTTCAGTCTCTCCCTTCTAGCTGCCTTCTCTTCTTGCGAAACTCCGGGATTAGGTGACGAACCCGCACTCGGACGTAGTGGCACAGATAGCGACGGGTCGATATTGGCGTTCACATCGGCTTGGGATGGGTTCAATATCGACGAGATGGCGTTCGGTCGATGAGGCATGGGGTTGGCGGTCTCTTCTGGATCCATGGTAGCACTTCGACTGCGCTTGCGGGGCGATGGTGCATTGGGTTGTGTATTCGGTATAAGAGTGGCCGGATTTGAGGTTGCCGAAGCGTTACCGTAATAGTGGGTGAAATCAACGGCAATTGGTCCTCTAGGTTCGGGTGTATAGTCTTCTCGAGATTCTAACGCCGTCGACGGGTCTGGGGAAACGGAATGCTCGAATGCTGGGGTTTGGGACGGACGCTGCGGTGGGGAGTAGTCGGCAACAGAAGGCGCTGCTTGGGAGCCTGTGTCACCAGCCGGTACGACCCGTTTCCGGCGTTTGATCTCCTGCTTCTTCATTGCGACGGGGCGATGTGTTCCATGCAGCTTGTAGTAGAGTCCTGCGAATTGGAGTTAGTCATCGCCGATGATCCCGTTCGTCAGTACCTTTAACAGATATAGACTTACCACAGGCGTTGCATATGATGTGACCAGCGTCATCCCGTCTCCAAAGTGGTGTAATAGTAGTTGCGCAGTTTTGACATGCGGGAATAGCACTTGTAGAAGCTGCTGCTGCCGCTGCACTGGATGCAGCGTCTGCCCCGTTTGTTCCGTCACTCGATGCAGCATTTGCCTGGGCCAATGCAAATTTAGCAGTTTTGGACACGCGGTTATTGAACGCTGGGCAGCCACTGCAACCTTGTTGACCGCCAGTGCCATTACATCGGCCTCCACCAGGGCATGTACCGACTGTCATCTGGTCTGCAGCAACGTAGGTCGCGACTCGGGGCGAAGCCGCAAGGGACCCCGGTGTCGTTCGGTTGCCGTCACAAGAGCCCGGAGTTGGGCTTTGCTGCACGGGCATAATCGGCTGAGTCTGAGTGTTGCGTTTGAGATTCACTGGACGTGATTGATTCCGCGCTTTCATGTACAAGCCACATGCGTTGCACACAGTTTCTCCAGCTGGTGATCGGCGCCAAAGCGGCGTTTGTGTTGTCTTGCAGTTACTTCGGTCCGTTAGCGTCTTCTCTGCAGATCTGGTTTCAACTGTAATCGGGCGACTGTTGACTGGTGGCAAGTACACAGCAAAATTTCAGACAACGTACCTACAGACTTGTCCGGCAACAGGCGCGTTGGATGCGTCATAGCTCATGTTGGGCAATTGTAGAGATGTCGAGTCTGCCGGGTTCGCCGGTTGCTCTGAGATGGGCACCGCATCCTCGAGTGAATGATAAATCTCATGTCTTTGATCTTCTTGGCTGTGAATCTGCTGCTGCTCCTGTGACGGAGTCTCTGTCCTCGGTCTGTGGTGCTCGTGGGCCTGGTTAAGTAATCGTAGACTCTCGGCCATCTCTAGCTCGTCCTTGCTCGTTTCTCGCGATAGATGATGTGGATGTGTCGGAGTTGGAGCCAAAGAGGTGCCCCCGCTCCCTGGAGGATGTGCCATGAGGCCAGTGTTCGGTGACCCTGGGTGTGCGTGTGAGAAGAGTGGGCTTACGGCCGTGGTGACACACTGTTGCCTAGTTTTGGTGAATCGGTTCCTACAGCCCGGGAATTGGAGCTGCTCGATCCAAATAAGTGTTCGGACTTTGCTATCGGCTAGATCTGATATCCGATCAGGGTGAAGGTCAATCTGGAGCAGGCGCTAACGTGACTTGGTGTGATATGCGGGTCTTCGGGCCTTTGTAGACACCTGGGCAACCTTTAGGAGGTGTGGCACACTGATGGCTGGCAAACGACTATAAGAATGATGGGTCTAGCAAGGGAGGATATCATGTGCGCTCGGGATCCCCGTCGTCATAATTCTGCGCAAGTTGCCTACTGGCCTGGCGGTGCTGGTGCGGTACAAGCTGTAATTCTTAGGCGGTGAATGGGCGGCGGTGGCCAATCAAGACTTTGCTATTCTAAGCCGAGGATTAGCGCGACAACCCTGAGAGCACGTCCACGGCGGCCATAGCCATAAGACAAGCTCAGGAACGGCGAAAGAGCACTCGACGCGTGCGTCGCACCTGCATAACTTTGGATGCAGAGCCAACCAACCCTCAGGTACATGCATTCAAATGCAAGTCGGATGCCCTTATCTCCGACACATGGGCTCGGCGGCAAGAAAAAGGAAAAATCGGCTCTATCAGTCTTGGACTCCACTTGAGCCTCGCCATAGACCAGCTGTCGGCGGATCAGATCCGTCTCGCCTACCACTAGCGATTTGTAATGGTTGCTCTCCGCACGCCACTCACGCAGCCTTGCGCCAATCGAAGGGGGGCGAAACAACTCGTCCAGAATGGCGTTATCGTTGTTGTAACTATACAAACTACAACACATTAGATCTGTAGACCTATCATGGAATGCAATGAGCCCCATCATGATACACTAGTAGAAATGCAAGCCTTAGTAGCCTCTTCGCTTCATGCACTGCGGACACTAGACAGACAAGCGAACACGTGTGACGACTACAGCCTCGTTTAGATCAGATAACCTATCATACACCGACTGAAAAGCTCCTCCCCAACCGATGTAACCAAAACCTGGGTATGACCGAGCCAACCTTGAAAATCCAACACAATGCACAGAGCCAACCCTTTCCGTCAGGGTCCGCAGACCATTTCTACGCCAGACATGTCCACAACATGTAATACTTGGTTTAATACATGATAAGCGCTCGACGAGGTTTTTACCGAGCCTAGACAGGGCAAGCGATCTACGAATGAGGACTCTTCGACCGCCGTCCTCCTGTCCACAAGCTGCGGACTTAGACTTGTTCAGCGCCCCAGCCAGCGTCAGCATCACTGCAATATCGTCAGTAACATGAAAGACACGTTGTCAAAGTGTGTTGAAGTCGTACCGCATGTTCGCTGGGGGCTCAATAGAAGGAATGAACTCCAGAGCAGCGTAGCCCACACCGATTATGCCAACGATAGTGCCTGGCACAATGCGGAACCAGCGCTCACCGACAATGACGGAGCCGATGAAGATGTAGAAGATGCCGCGGCCGAGGAAAGAGAACATGAAGGAGGCATAGCGTGCCACTTGCTGGGGAATCTGGAACTCGAGGAGGGCAGTTCCTGTTGCTTGTCAGCGGCATGTGGTTGCGTAAGGACGCTGGATCTTACCAAGACCGAATATGATCAGGTATACACCGAGGATGATGTGAGAGCTGCGCAAACTGTCAGCGCTTCCCTAGGCCATTTGATTTGGTTGCGTGCTTCGCTCTGCGATCTTCGAGTGACATGACTGGTGGTGCAATCCCAGTCCGTACGATGCTTGTGCGTCGTCACGAATGCGCACATTCGCGTGCATGGTATTCGAGCCCACCGCAGGCCCAGACACATATGGACCAGGCTAGCGAGTGTCCTTCGACCGACAGCTTGCACTCTTCTCCGGATCCACATGCGCCTGCCACGATGTGCTCGCCAAATATAGTACGCCATGCCACGGTTGTACGACGGGGAGAGGCGATGCGACGGGACTGGATTGCCGATGGAGGCGCCGGGTACACTCACAAGTCGTTGAAGGGGAACAACTTCGCGATACCACCGAGGACCACGAATACGGCCACGGCGAAATTCACCATGCGACTACAAGCTCAGTTAGCTATGATCCTCGACACTTCCAAGTCCCAATGGCTCTGTGGAAAGCTGCTGCCTAGCTTCGGGACAGCTCCGCACAGCTCGAGCTCGACTCACAAGATGTCTGAGAAATCCATGGCGGACGATTGACCGGCGAGGTGTGGGAACCGCACTTTGACGACTTGGCGCAACGGACTGGGGCGGAGGCGGATGGGACGAGATGGAAGATGCAGCTGGTTGTGATAGAGCTCGCGGGTACGGTTGGTGCTGCGCAATGTCGGCTTGCGACGAGACGTTGCAAGGGAACCACAGCCAAGCTCCCGCGCTAAACGTCATACCCGCTCTCATTGGCCGACGCGCGACCAAGGGGTTCTTCCAGGTTCAACACTGCTTGTCTTTGTCTCTCCAACATATGCCTTTTGGTAGTTCAGTTGCTTGAAGATCCGTATATTTTTTACATATTTCCTAGTGCGTAGAACAGAGACACATTCGACTCCAAGACAGAGTACCCTAAGCAGTGGCATTGCATGCAAAGAAGAGCTGAGATCTGCTGGTTGAGCCCGAAATCTTCTCATCATGGCCTTCAGTCTTTGCCCGCTTGCACGCTAGACAGGACATGTTCGTGTTCCTAGGTCCCCGCTGTTGTCAGTCTGTCACGAACTCAGTTCGAGCAGGAGCATTTCGGCTTTTTTTTTGCCCTTTTTTTTTGTACTTCATGATGGGTGAGTATCAAGAAATGCGTAACAAGTAAGGCGGTACAAGATGCGAGTGTCTGCAAGGTTCACCTAGCCCCAAACGGTGTCTCCAGCCTTTAACGCCTTTCGCGTCTTTGATATTTCAGTCTAATGCATACAATGCTCGCAGTGTCTCTTCTTATGCCACCACTAGTTTCCTGATATGTTTGGTGCAATAACAATCGAATATATTAGCAATCCATCAACAGCCAAATAGGAGTACACCGCCTCACGATCACGTTGTTTGCGAATTTTCGTGGTTATCGCATCAGTAGAGTTTGACTGCTCTACATTCTTCACGATTACCAGGGATCGCCAGCATCCTAAACCTACTGTATCTATTGGCTTGCTATAAAAAGAAGGCAATGTCGACATACCGCCTGCATTAGCATATCCGTGAACCTGGCTCAAGACAGCAGTGTTCCATGAAAGTTTCGATCCCTTTTCGCCATGGTATCGAGTTATTCAATGGCAATCGCGCCCTGCCGCGCCGTGCTGTACCATTGTTGGAAGCAAGCTAAGTACAAGCCTACCTAACGACGGGCCCTCGCACTCGGCTCCACGTGTACGGGACGTAAGGTATCGGGTACGCCTGCATTGCGTCAAAGTACTAACTCAGCCAGACCCTTGATACAGTTTGAGGCTCCTCGGAGGACAGTTGGGCTCGTCCGCGCCCAGCAGAACTAGCTCTCAGTCTATAGTCTAGTTTGCACGCCACGAGATTACTTGCAATGTTAGCATACAACGAGCGGCCTCTTCGACGGGGAACCCATTCTTCCAAAAGGTCGTATAGATCCGGTAGGCTAAAGTGGATCGTTTGGCCGCATACTTCACGCGATTCATGCGTACCTGACAGGTCGTCCCTAGCTTGGACGAATTCATGGAAATGTGGTAATGTACTGGGGCGGAAGACTCCATGAACATGCTACGAGCGGGTGTCTGACGGCTACTAAAGCAGCCGTAGTGCCGTTCCTGCATGGACAACGATGCGGTCTGATCTGACGATGGTGTACATTTGATGGGGGTAAGAGCAATCGAGTCGGTGACTCCGAAGTCGAATGCTCCACACACTCGTGGACATAATCAACGTAACAACGAGAGCTCCTTCAACATGCGTTTCCTCCGCTTTGGATTCGATGTCGTAATCTTCTTCTTATAGTCGCCTCCCAATGATCAAAGTATCTGGCAAGCCTCGGCATGAGCAACCGCATTGGGGCTGTTGATCGCGTATAGAGTTTCCTTGCCACCTCCCGTCGTAATTCGTACAAGATCCCTACTAGAGTCGTTTCGCGATTGGACAGATGTCGAACGGGTACCGATATAGAGTAGCTGCGGTGGAAGCGCGAAGCGTTGACGTGAGCGGACTCCCCTACCATTTAGCGCGCTAGCGAAGCGGCAGGAACCACCGTTCGGGGCTTACTCCGCGCGGAGACGGCCACCACAAGAACGCGCCACCCAAATCAGCATAACCCGGGTCACACCACATGCGGAGAGCACGTTTCGGAAGGACTGAGACGGTTACTACGGATATCAAATGGAGGGCGATGACACCTTGAAGCGGTTAGAAGCACGCGAGACTTCTACCTCACCATCTCGATCTGGCTGTTCTAGGGTGGAAATAGAAACGAATTGCGCATGATCGCATAAACTGCGCGACATCGTTAGTTCACATCCCGACATCCCCTTGGGCCTTAGCACTGCCTCGGCTGGTCTGTGACGTTTGGACTGGACCGTCGAAGTTTAACAAGCCAGCTCCATGTAGGGTACCGGCCTAGCCCATGTGTCCAAAATCCTTGGGCGCAGGTGTTAGCAACTTCAGCACAACGTTCTTCGATGCGTTCAGTATGCTATATAGCACACATGCAGCTACAAGCCTACTCCTTCCAAGAAACGTTTGGAATGGGTTGCGCAGGTGGCAGTCCAGCTGAACACGGAACCGTTGGACGACGTTGAGGGGTGCGGCTCCTCTGGTTGGGAGACTCAAGGGTACCGCACATTTAAACTTTGTTAGCACGCAACGCTGCAGGAAGCCACGAGGCGGATCGGATCAGCCGTACCAAGGCCTTGTAGCATATATACAAATCGCGGCCTTGCAAGCGGGAAGGCCCCTTTGCTGGAACGTTGATTTCTTCTTTGTTCCCACCTCTTGCCAGACGACTTCGACTTGGATACTGTGTGTCGCTGGACGAGACGAGACATGAGATGGCCGCTGTACCTACTACTGGTCCTCGCGGCATGGGCCTCGATTGGGGTGGCACAGGACGCCGCCGCGCTCAAGGCGATCGGCTCGCTTCCAAGCTGCGCGGTATGTAACAGCCAACATGGGCCAAATGATATGTTGCTAATGGTTGTAGCAATTGTGCCTGGCGACAGCTGTAGTTGATTCACCCTGCCAACTTTCGGATAAGCAATGCGTATGTGCCAACGCTGAGCTCCAGAGTGCAGCGGAAAAATGCGTAATTTCGTCGTGTACAATAAAAGAGAGTCTGAGTAAGTTCAATGTGCCACCATACACTGAACATTTGCTTACAACACTCTCCCAGCCACAAAGAACGTAACTTCAGCTCTCTGCGACGTGCCTGTCCGATCGGAAATTACCCATTTACGCGTGGCAAACATCGTATTGGCCGTAGTGACAGGCTCCTGCATCATCTTACGCTTTAGTTACCACATGTTTTTCCACGTCAATGGGCTTAATTGGGACGACTTCCTCGTGCTAGCTACGGTGGTTCTAGCCGTACCATCTGTCGTTATTGTCGACAGGTGTATGCTTCCGAATGGCATCGGTATCGACATTTGGAACGTTCCGTTTGACCACATCGACAACTTTATACGATGGCTCTACGTCGTCACTCTACTATACCTCCTCCAGGCTGCCTTGGTCAAGATTACGCTCCTTTCCTTCTTCCTACGGATATTCCTTAGACGGCGAACAGTACAGCTTTTGTGGGGGACTATCATCTTTATTGGATTATGGACCTTCTCCATCTTCATTCCCGCCGCGATGCCATGTCTACCGGTACGTCAAGATCACTCACGAGGTGCACGGTACACCAGCTAACATTGTCCTTGGCAATGTAGGTCAGTGATTTCTGGACGGGATGGGATATGGAAAGACCAACAAAATGTCTCAACATGGATGCTGTAGTATGGATGCATGCCATTATAGGCATTGTGTTGGACCTCTGGATGATAGCTATTCCTCTATACGAGGTCTATCATCTCCAGATGACATGGGTGAAGAAGTCCGGCGTGGCGTTGATGTTCTCTCTTGGTACCTTGTCAGTGCCCTTGCAGTCCACATTACATCCTCTAGCCCCAAGCTTACGTTTCCGCAGTGTCACAGTAGTGTCCATCCTCCGCCTGAAATCGCTCTTTTTCTTCGACGGGGACAACAACTATACATGGAAGCAAGCGAAAGTCGTCCTGTGGTCCATGTACGAGCTTCATGTCGGAGTAATCTGCGCCTGCATCCCGACCCTCCGCCTGATCTTCATCCGCGCAATCCCTTCGGTCATCAGCTCGATACAAGGAAGCACCCAGCGAAGCAGCGCGAACGGAAACGGCAGTAGAAGAAGTCGTGGCACAACTCAGAACGTAGACACTTTGAGAAGTGACAGAGGTGGGAAAGAAGGCCTGGCCGTTGAACCCAACACGATTACATACACCAGGACCTTTGCAGTCCGGCACGAGGAAAACGACGAGGAGGTTGAACTTGTCCACATGGAGGATTTAAGTGAAAAGACGTCGAGAGAACGAGGTGGTAGCTATGCTAGTGAGCTGAGCTTATAGCTACATCGTAATGAGACGTCATAGTTTGGGCCCACCAATCATTGCCAAGTTCATACCCGACGCTCAAGTTAGTAAGCATACTCATCTTGTAAACCTGGTAAGATATGAGTGGCGCGTTCTACTTGAACTAACCCAAGACGTATTCTAAAGATGTCCGCAATTCTCCGCGTTATCACCATGTTGATCACATAGAATCCAACGCCAAACCCGCAGGCCAACTTTCGTCTCTAGTCCTTTGCCCATAGAGGTGTTCAACGAATCGCTTTGATGCCATGAAGCCGTTCCTCTTCGCAAACCGCCGAGCCCGCTTGTACTGACTTTTGGGAGGCTCTCCAAACTGCGCATCGAGGTTGACGTTCCACTGTATCAAAAGCGACATCGTGTCGACATGACCCCACTCTGCTGCTGCTTCGAAAGCAGTTCGGCCGTAGCCTTTGGCCGGTGGGTAGTTTGGATCGGCCCCGTGCTCGAGCAGAAACGCTGCAATGCCGCAGAAACCGTTCATGGCAGCTAGTTGCAACGCGGTACCGCCAGAGTATACGGGTGCTGTATCGATAGTCGCACCTTGGTCGACGATGTACTCCACGATGTCGAAGCCACCCGTCTCGGCGGCTCTTTGCAGAGGTGTGCGAGTGATGCCCATGTTGCATGTGTACTGCAGCTCTGCCCCGTGCTCCACCAAGATCTTCACCAGGGGGAGACTTTGCACGTCGATAGCCGCCAGTAGGGGAGTTACTCGTTGTATGTGACTCTTAACGTGCTTCAACATCTTCAAGCCATCGAAGGATACGTATGCGTTTGGACTAGCACCAAGCTTTAATAGCACTTGGACTATCTCAGAGTCGTCTGCGATGATTGCTTCGCCGAGAGGACTGACCGCAGGTTTCTGTTCCATGAACTCTTCGTTGAATGGCTCGATCTCATCAACTTTTACAACACTACACAGAACGTCGACCCGATCGATGTCGCGGTTACGAATTGCTTGGCGAAGTGCCGCGACACCATAGCTTCGTTTGACTGAAGACGTCTCCGCCCTTGCAGCATCTAGAAGAAAACGCACAGTGGCGATAGTCGCCCTTGACTTGATCGCTTGTAACAATGCCATTGAATCAACAACAGAGACAACATTTGCCGCAAGGAATTTCATCCACTCTATGTGGTCCCTGTCAGCCGCGACGGCAAGAAGAGAGGGCAACATATAGCCGCTACCAAAATAGCTCGCACCTGTGCCTCCAGGAAGAGAGCAGTGCAACCCCGAGCTTTTTTCGATCGATATTTCATCATCGGTGTTTACATAGAGCTCGTCGGGGTCCATGCCAATTTGTAGCAGCCATTGACATATTTCGTAGTCGTTCGTTGCCATGCAATGGTAAAAGGTAGCTCGGAAACTCAGCTGAAGATCAACTTGCCGCAATACAACTTGTCTTCCTGTTTCGAAATTGATGATAGGGACCCCTAAGCCGTGGAAAAACATCGTCTCTAAGGGTTCAAAATTCTTATGTCCGCTCGCAGCTTCCAATGCATCTTTCCAAATCGGATTCCTCCCTAGAAGGGTGCTGACTGCCATGATCTGACGATGATTTAGGAGGATTGTGAGACCATCTACGCTCCAGGTGGACATATCCTCGACGATGGTGATAGCTGTAGTAGAGTCGTGGTGACTGATTGCGAGTTCGACCAGGCGTTTTCCAAACTCAGATTCCTTGAAGGTCAAACTCATTAGGGTATACAGGCGAAAAGCAAGTCTTAGATCGTTCTTTTGGATGGCATGTCGAAGCTGTGACTTTTGATCGTTAATTGAATCAGCCATGTCTGAGTTTGCCATGGGCCTTTTCGCTATCATCAGAGATGCTGTCAGTTTCCAGTCTGCGTTGTCGAACGCCTCTAGAACTGATCTGTCCATGAAGGATGGCGCGCTGGGATCGTCAATGTAAGCGTCACCGTCGTCAAGGTGATATCCAAGAGAACTGAATGCTTTCAGGATCATCTCCACAGCCCTCTGATGGTGCGGATAGATAGCGGCATGAAGAACGTCAAACATTGCTGTCTTGAGTCTTGGGTCAGTCGTCGGCAGATGGTGCTCTTTGTCGGATAGAACAAATTGCAAAACGTCTCTAGCCAAGAACAATCGGGCTTCCGACTGCTCTTCGCCATAATTTCTGGTGAAATATTGTACCAGCAAGCCTGCTTCCAGCCAAGCGATGATACCTGCCGTTGTAGCTTGTACCATGTGTTTGAGAGAAGCTACGGAGACATCACGGATTGGAGTCCCGAGACATTTTCGATTAGGCCTGGCCCCAGCACGAAGAGGAATGCACATAAGCTCTGTCCTTTCTGATTCACTGAGTCTGTGGGAGTCTTGAGAGTAATATATACTGCCTTCGTAGACATGGTCAATCAGTTCCTGAAGTTGTGATTGAGTTGCTCCTCGACACATGTGCGAACATAGTGTTTTTGCGACCGCGAAATGACCTGCAGCTACAGCAAACTGAAGTGGGTAGGTTGTTTTCGACTCGGACGGCCAGTCCATCATGACCCGCTCTCGAGGGTTCATGTCCAACCCAAGCATGGTTGATACAAGACCCAAATCCCCAACCCTGACAGCAGTAGCAAACACTCTTTCTTTGAGAGCGTCAAGAATCGGAGTCGGTAGGGCCTTCAAGCTTTGTGAAACGTCTCTTAGAGGGAGCGCCTTCAATAGTGCGTACGCGTCGTTCGAAGTTGGATGGCCGACCGAAGATACGTTGTTGGCTAGTGATGCGACCGCGTAGAGGGAGAGTATCGTACTGTGGCTTCCGTGCGTAGTATCCACAAGTGACTGGTACTTTGAATGGAACATCGCATCGAGCTGCATATGGGAAGGCTTATTCCATTTCACCAACTGTTGGGAAGAAATGAGGCTCTGGGAGACGGAGTCGAAGTCGATAGAATGCGTCCAGGAAAATGGCAAATTGGACTCGGCAATAAGGGTGGGTCTGTTCAGGCTGAGGCTTTGTATGAAGGGCGAGGTAATCGTGAGTAGACCAAAGTCTGGTTCGGCTTGCATAGAAGAAGATGAGCTTGCGGCAGGCGCTGGTACGATTGGAAGGCCGTTCGCGGTGTTGATGGTTGGGGCATGTGACCGCGGTCGTACGGTGATATCTTTGGGAAGCCTATGGGAACCTGGGTACGATGAGCACTAAACATCTAGATCCGAACATAACATACCATCATGTAGGGTGTTAACAAGCGAGCTGCGCCGTGCTATCTCCTGCAGAACTCTATTCTGGGGGATTTCGCGTCCCCTGAACAACACTTCAACTTGCTCAAGCTCAATGGAGTTCCTCGTCAAATATCGGATGGTGGCTGCCCATTCGGCAGTAGTTAAGTTCTTCCGTAGTTCCCATTTGCGGAAATGTCTTTCGTATTGTGCTTTGCTTCTTAGTGTTAGCATTCTTCTACGTGTAATGTAGCAAGTGTGGAAGCACCTAGCGACGAAGCCATGATGCTTCTTCATGTGCGCATCGATCTTGTCGAGTGAATTTTCCCAGTATAGGCTCTCGATCACTGTACGATAGCGATTCCATATTGCTTCGTCGAGTCTGTCAGTCTTGACAGTGTTGTTCATCTTGTACAGCGAAGCGCCAGGCTGAGTGAAAGAGCGAGGGAAGAAGGGTGACGGCCAGGCTGAACGTTTTGGAGCATACCTAGATATTTGACCGGTCCGGCTTAGACGCAAAGCGATACCTGACGCATACTGCGCCTGTCCGCCGCGTCTCGTGTGCACCAACAACACGACCTCATTTCCCTCGTCTCAGTCAGCCGCGCACCCTCCGACCAATCATGCAAAACCTGGCTGCATAGAGCTGCAGCAAGATTTTGTAAACGAGGCAATGACCCATGGCGGAACTGACCAATTGTGCAAAACCTGCGCGCGGCACGGAACTCCAGCACAACACAAAACAAAATCTTGGGTTGTATGATGACAGCAAGTGACCCAATCCGGTTAAAGCGAGATTCTGTAAAGATGGCCGACCCTGTTGTGCCTGGCTGAATGGAGGCGGAGCGCATGTTGACCAATTATGCAAAACCTGCAAAAGTACCATTGCAGATTCTGTAGAGACTTCAAGAGCAGATTCTGCTTTCGAGCACATGGTTAAAGACTGAATGGAGGATGCGCTCTTCCTCGAAAGCAAATCCCTCTCAAACGTCGCATCGCTCTTCACACTCTGCGTTGACCATTACCAACGGTTATCATACCAACTTTGCCATGTCTTCCTGGTCGATTGAAGCAATCATAGCTTTTGTGACCTTACTAGCCACCTGTATCCCTCTCCTGGCATACTTCTTGCGCAGATTCATGCCCCGACGTGACATCGCCCGCTCGGATGTCGGTACGTTGGTCGCTGTTCAACTTTGTCCTAGCCTCGCTTCTAACGTATACCAGATGTTGAGCTTGGAAACACGGACGAGGATCACGGTCGCGCCGTTACCCCTACAAACTTTGGGATACGTAAAAGCCGCACACGGTAGGTGCTGGGATGATGCCGCAACATCTGGGTTCTGGATGCTAACGAGAGTTTGTCTTAGTTCAATGACCTTGTGAGGAAGTGGAAACTCAGCGCCACCGAGGCATGGCCACCCATGTGGATAGGCTTGGGAGAGTGATTACATCCGTTCCGATGTTCCGTCAGATGTGGGTATCGAGGAAAGCGGAGTGGTGTCAGATCTGTTGTACGATTAATGCGCTGGGGGAAGTGAAGACATGACAGGAATATGGCGGCACATGAGCGTTGGTCGGGTGACGGTATAGCAACAATGGAGTCTTATATCGCTTCATCCAGCATCAAGCGCCAGGTGTCTTCGCCCCATAAACTTCAATGGACTCTTATTGCAAACTCCAAACGCCCAAGCTCAATTGCAGGATGTGCTCTGAAGCGACCCCATAAGCAACGCGGGAATGGCCTGACGAGGCATGGTATCCAATCCTCAAGCTTTATTCAACTCCAATTCCAGCGGTA